GTTTAGTACTCAATTACCTAGAAATTTTAAGATACTCTTCCTGGAACTAAACGAAGTCAAAATTATAAATGGGACTAATCAGAAAATTACAACAAAATTGTGAAATACAGTAAGTTGTGGCAAAGGTAAGTACCTAATGTTACACAATGAAATAAAATCCAGATAGGTTAAATAATTTAAACGTCTACCTATATTTGTATACATTTCAGTGGGCGGAGGGGGAGGGGAACTCTAGATAGGTTAGAAATTTTAAACAAATACAATATAGATTCTATGCTAAAACATTTACAATCTTGATGAAATGGATGATTTTTTTCCAGAAAAAATACAATGATATTGAGAAACAATGAATTCGAGGTTTCTGATTGGCAGTCAGTCATTTGGATGATGGTGCAATTCAGAGAATCTCATGAGCTTGGGTATCTTGGGTGAAAGGAATCTATGGAACATCTGAGTGGAATTTTCTAGCCAACAGCTGGATATTTAAAGCTGCATCTCAGGCCAGGTATCTAGTCTAGAGATCAAGATTTATGACGATTAGCATGTAGCTGCATGTGGAAATCATGGGGAACTGATGAAGTTGCCCAGGAGAACGTGCAGCTAAGCTGAAGGCTGCCTGGCAACCATCTTGAGCATCATTTACAAGACAGGCAGAGAAAGAACAGTCCGCAAAGTAGTCTGACATGGCCAAAGAGGTAGGAAGGAAGCTGGGCAGTGTGAGTTCAGGAAGCCAGTGGGTGGGAGGGTTTCTAGAAGTAGAGAATATGAGTGATGTCAAATGTTAACTCGGGGTTAAGAATGGAAAAGTTCCTGTTGGTTTGGCTAAAATGCCATTGGTGACCTTAGTATGAGCAATGTTACTATGGTTCTTTCAAGTGTTTAGCAAAGAGCTGCTATCCATGCTATGTAAGATTTATAGAGCATAGGATAAAATATAGAAAACTTCTCAATATAGTTTTCAAAACCGGTATAAAATAAAAATCATAAGTTGGACAGAGCCATACACACAATCCTAGTTATTAATATGGACAATAACTGACACCTGCTTGCTCACCAATGCCAGGCACTGTTCTTATGAACTTAATTGATTTAATCCTTGTGCCAGTTGTGTTAAGGAAATATTAATCTGGTATTAATGGTTGAATCTGGTATTAATGGTTATATCTGAATTTAGATATATACCAAGAAAATGATACATTACATCCATGAATTAATGTTTAATTTTGAAATATTAGAAAATATAAAATATAGGCCAGGCATGGTAGCTCATGTCTGTAATCCTAGCACTTTGGGAGGCCATGATGGGTGGATCACTTGAGGTCAGGGGTTCGTGACCAGCCTGGCCAATATGGTGAAACCCCATCTTTACTAAAAATACAAACATTAGCCAGGCATGGTGCTGCGTGCCTGTAATCCTAGCTACTAGAAAGGCTGAGACAGAAGAATAGCTTGAACCTGGGAGGCGGAGGTTGCAGTGAGCTGAGATCATGCCATTGCACTCCAGCCTGGGCAACAGAGCAAGATTTCATCTCAGAAAAAAAAAAAATTCTATATCTGTATGTCTTATATATATATTATATATGTCATATATATTATATATGTCATATATTATATATGTCTGTATATATTTTATACTTATATATCTCTTATATATATAGTAAATTTTGGCCCCAAAGTGAGAAAAAATTTTCATGTGATTGTGAATTTTCTAAAACTCCAAGAAAGTCCTGTGATACACCCTTATCAATTGAACCATGAATAAGGGAGTAATGATCTATCTCCAAATAGGCCACACCACATTTCTAGTAAAATGTATGTCGATTCCCATTCAAGAAAAACAAGAATAATCCAACTCTTATCCTTCGAATTTTGGGCACTGTTTGGCGAGAAGTTTAGGCACCACAAGAATAAGGATTAAGAGAACCTAAATGGGATTAAATACATCTATCAAAGGAGACAAAATGATCACTGTAGTAAGTATGATGATGAATGTACAGGCCTAAGAGAGAAGCAATAAAAAAAAAAGTGGTATCTGGGTCAGGGAGGTTGGGCTACAAAATAAACACTTACCTTTGTTAAGATCTGTTTATAGGCCAGGCCCAGTGGCTCACGTCTGTATCCCAGCCAAACTTTGGGCAGGACAAGGCGACTATGCTTGAGGCCACAGGACGTTCGAGACCAGCCTGAGCCAACCAGGGTCGATAAAACCTGTCCTTCAGAAAAAAAAAAAATGATATTTTATATGCCAAGCACCACGCTGGGACATTATGAAATGGTTTTGAGTCTGAAGCCAACCCATAAGATGGATTTTAAACTGCTCACATACATTGTGGAGCTTGGAATTCAGATGCTAGATCTACTCAACTCTAAAGTTGATTGTCTTCATCTCTATGGCATGGACTTCCTGCCACAAATGTATAAAACATAAAAGTGTTTCTAGACTCAATAAAATCTTGGGACAGTATGATTACATGAACAGCCATTATTCACAGTAGAAAACAATGAATACAATAGCAAAAAATTAAATATGGTAAAGAAAAAACTTAGCACCTACATGATGAGCAGTACACAGTTTACTGAGGGATCTAAAGAAGTGGAGTGTTGCTATCGCAAAGCCATCCGTTTTCTCTCTAGCTGTGGTTTAATGCAACTGAAATTGTTTTGGAAATTTCCCTAAGGTTAATCTGGAAAGAATAAATGGATAAGAAAAATTGAGAAGGCCAGGTGTGGTGGCTCACATCTGTAATCCCAGCATTTTGTGAGGCTGAGGCGGGCGCATCACGAGGTCAGGAGTTCAGGACCAGCCTGATCAACATGGTGAAACCCTGCCTCTACTAAAAATGCAAAGAAAAAAAAATTAGCTGGGCATGGTGGCACGTGCCTGTAATCCCACCTACTCAAGAGGCTGAGGCAGGAGAATCGCTTGAACCCAGCAGGCAGAGGTTGCTGTGAGCCGAGGATTGCACCACTGCACTCCAGCCTGGGCGACAGAGTGAGACTCTGTCTCAAAACACAAAAACAAAAACAAAAACAAAAACAAAAAAAAGAATAGTTGAGAAAATGTAGTTTTTAAAGATTGTGTATTTGTGGAAGGACACTTACACTATCAAATATTAAATATGTATTACAACCACAATAGTGTGATTTTTACCCAGAATAGATCAATAAAATAGAATATGTGTATAGAAACCGTTCAGTAAATTGTGAAATACAGTTAAGTTGTGGCAAAGGTAAATTCTTAACATTACATGAAAAAGTAAAATCCAGATAAGTTAAACAATGTAAGCATTCATATATGTATACATATGTGTGTACATATACATTTGTGTGCGTGTCTGTGCGTTTGTGTGTACCTACCAGTTCTTGGAGTAGAGGTGGTCTTTCTATACATAAAATACTTAAGGACAAATTGGGATGTGATATTGCAACATGATGCCACAGTATGAAAAATCTCAACATATAAAGTATTTTTACAAGTGAAAGAAGAGTGCAGAAAGTATTAACATGCAGTTTATAAAAGAAGAAATTAACATCAGCAAATATATGAAAAAATTCTTCAGCCTCACTGGTGAGTAAAAAAATGTAAGTTAAAATGAGCACACGCATTGCTGGAGGGAGAATAAACTCATGCACTCTTCTGAGGAGTGATTTGACTGAATGTCTGAAAGGCCTGAAATATAAATCATAATTTTTGGTCCAGTAATTCTAATTCTTGGAATTTTCCAATTGAAATAATGAAAGTTATGCACAAAGGATAATTATTGCTCTGATATTTATAATAGTGAGAAATTAGGATCACATTAATTGCCCAATGTTAGGAAGCCATTTAAATAAATTATAGAGCATGTCATAGAAAAATATGCAGGAATTTAAAATAATGTTATAAAAGAATAGTTCATCGTCCCGGGGAAAGTTTACGATATATTGTTAAGTGGATGAAAAGTAGGTTATGTAAGCAAAAAATGTTAATCCAGCTCATCTCTTAAGTGGGTTTACGGTAATTTTCTACTTCTATATTTAATGTTTTTAATAGTTTTTTTTTAAAAAGGCATTGTTTTCATAGAATAATAGCAACATATATATAAAATATATATGAAAAAACAAGATCAAAGAGGAAATACACATTACTGTGTTTATTGATGATAACAGCAATGCAGGTGATTATTATGTTATTCTTTGTATCTTTTTCTTTAATCATGCATTAATTTTAAAACCATGACATTTAAACAAGAAACTTTTAAAAAATGAAAGGGAAGAAGAAGGAGAAAGAATAAAAGCAGCACGTGAAAACTCTAGAGTAGTGGAAATGCTAAAGTATGCCATTCATTAATTCATTCACTCACCCGTTTTATAATTACTGACACTAAGTGCCTACTGTGTGCCAGGCCCTGTCTTAATGGGAACATAGTGGTGAAATAAAATTTGCAGTATTCATGGGGTGGGGTGGGGTGGATTTGCCAGATGTGGGTGTAATTAAATAGAATTGAAAACTGTGGAAGCATATTATGCATAAAACAGGTTTTATGAGAATAAGCTCATAGAAGGTTTATATATGTATAAATGTAAATAAGAGACTGGTTAAGAAAAATATTTAGAAGAATATTTAGAAGATATTTAGAAGAATAGTCAATACAGTCCTACTTAGGAAAGAGAGAAAGGAGAGAAAGGAAAATAATATAAAAGTAGTTTATTATCTTCATAAGAAATTGAGATATGGTTGCTTGTGCCATTTTTAATTTTATAGGGAGCAGAGAAGTTTACATACACTTAAAGCAGAAATGATAATTGTAATCTGAAATTTTGAAATGTTATTCTAATAGAAAAATATAAAAGTACTATAAATTCCAAATTTACATGTGAATTAACCAATGTTGATAGCAAAAACCCTGATTACATCCATTATGCATCCAGAACCTTCTTATTACCTGTGGAAGAATTAATTAGAAGGTTTGCTTCATGGCCAGGATACAAACTCAGAGAGAGGATTTTTTCTCTTTCAGCATTAAATGAACCCACCATAGACTATGGCTTCCAGAGACTGCAGAAGGTCATCCCTAGGCACCCTGGAGATCCTGAGAGATTAGCTAAGGTAATGTGCTTTGGAAATGGACATGTGAAGCCATTTGTGTAGAATTTCAGCAAACTTAGACAAATGCAGGTATTTACATCCCATTAAAATTAATTAGGCCTTGAAATTTAGCTAAGCTTTAGATACAAAATGCACATAAAATATCTGCTGACTCTGAAATATAGAAAGGGAAGAAGAAGGAGAAAGAATAAAAGCAGCACGTGAAAACTCTCGAGTAGTGGAAATGCTAAAGTATGCCATTCATTAATAAAATCCAGATAAGTTAAACAATGTAAGCATTCATATATGTATACATATGTGTGTACATATACATTTGTGTGCGTGTCTGTGCGTTTGTGTGTA